ATTCATTGTTCGTACAAAAAGTGAGGGTTAATTTGGTCCACAAAATCTCGTTCCTTTTTCACTTCCTTCGGCAAAAAAACATCCCACCTAATCTATAGACTTTCTAACATTTGATCCGTACACAAATTTACACATAACAAAAAATACCGAGAAAAATTTATACTTTGGAAATTTTTTTATTTTTTGTTACCAAACGTAATATTATAAGTTTCCCTACAATGTTTTCCCAAGTATTCTAATATAATCCGCGTACCAAACACGCTCTAAGGGTGGGGGATGAATTCTCCGTCTGAAGGGTCCTCTAGTGATGGTTCTCCTTATAGAGATTCTAATTAAAAGACAAAACCATTTGTTTTAAGCAGTCTTCACGGTAGATCCAATGACTTTCCTTGTTTCTTTGCATGCATATAAAGGTGACTTGGTAATAGTTTTGGTATTTTTATCTGCAAGTGTCAACCATTTACTCCTTGACAGGTATTGTGCTCGTCAGACTTGTCAGAAACACGCACCTGGTATAGACGTGTTCAGACACGTACCTGGTACAGATGTGTTCAGATTTGTCAGAAACGCGAATGTGTCAGTTGCGCGACTAAATGCGTAACCACCTGAAACGTGTCTTCATGCATTAGTCCGGTAAAACGTTTGGTCAACGAACTAAACATGTGGATTTTTTTTGAAATTTGCATTTTTTTTGGTCAAAAACCCTAATATATTAGGTCATATCTAATTTGATATCAAAATAAATCATTTCAATTTTCATTTTAAATTTTTTTTTTTGACATAGAGCAGACCATAAATCCCTGACTTATTTACATTTCTAATCAAGCCGCTAAACATAGGATTCCACATGCACAAGTATTGCTTGGCCCTTGGCAAATTAAATATGACAGAAACTTAGTTATCACCATATAAATGACACATTATAGAGGGATATTGGCCTGAATTAAGATACACATTCAATACCATCCACCTTAGGAGTCAAAGGGATGAGTGTCTGATTCACCTCCCTTATCTTGCTAACAAAATTGCAAATGGAAGAGTAAAATGTATCCGATTAGCTTTTAAGTATTTTTGCATGCAGGCCAAGCAACCCAAGGGGCCTTAAAGTTCTTAATGCCAAACAAAGTGATTGATTTCCTCCTCTATCATTCCACTTTTAAATAGCATAAAGCTCAAAGACTCTAAGGGGACGTTTGGTAGAGGAGAAAATTTTGTTAACTAGGTAAATACAACCAGAGAAATAATGGGTAAAGAAATTTACTGGTAAAGTTAAAAAGTTATTTGGTAGGACGAAATATTACCGGATAAATTAAGTAAGTTTTCAAAATCTATGTTTGGTAAAAAGTAAAATATTGATGGGATAATTTGTTGAATTACCAAAGTGTCATTTTGGACGAAATCATCACTGACATTGAACAGTAAACAAGGGTCATTTTGAACAATACTTTGGCGCTCGTTTTTTTCTTTCCGGTAAAACCACCTATTACCTCCAAAAAAGTGGATATTAAGAACAGTGTTAGCATCTCATTTTTACACATGATTCATGTTGCCTGGGTATGGCATTTTGCTAGCATATTTTTTGGGAGCCTTCTACCAAACGTTGACAAACTCAATTCCCTATCTAATTTGCCTAGCCATTTATTACAAAGACAGCTACCGAACGCCCCCTAAGGGGGGTTTAGTACAGGAGAAATGTTTTTTAATACGGGAAATAATTATTACTGGAATATAATGAGAAACATATTTTACTATAATGATACTAAAAAGTTGTTTGGTAGGCCAAAATTTATCAGGGAATTTTTGGTGAATTTTACTGATGTTATGTTTGGTTGATGATAAAATATTGATGAGAATATTATGTAAATGACAAAATTAACCTTATTTTTTTGAATATTGAAATGACAAAAATTTAGTCATTAGAATATTAATCGTCTTCCTCTCATGACTTCGTTTCTTTCTTCCCCAAGTCTTCTGCTCACCTATCTTTTTTCCAGTAGTAAGTGAAATGCTAAGAAAATCAACTCTGTTCATGCAGAAAATAAGTAATTCATTGAATTTGTCATTATGAACTCCATTCATTCACTGTTCGTACAAAAAGTGAGGGTTACTTTGGTCCACAAAATTTCGTTCCTTTTTCACTTGCTCCGGCAAAAAAACAACCCACCTAATATATGGACTTTCTAACATTTGATCCGTACACAACTTTACACATGACAAAAAATACCGAGAAAAATTTACACTCTGGAAATTTTTTTATTTTCTGTTACCAAACGTAATATTATAAGTTTCCCTACAATGTTTTCCCAAGTATTCTAATATAATCCGCGTACCAAACACGCTCTAAGGGTGGGGGATGAATTCTCCATCTGAAGGATCCTCTAGTGATGGTTCTCCTTATAGAGATTCTAATTAAAAGACAAAACCATCTGTTTTAAGTAGTCTTCACGGTAGATCCAATGACTTTCCTTGTTTCTTTGCTTGCATATAAAGGTGACTTGGTAATAGTTTTGGTATTTTTATCTGCAAGTGTCAACCATTTACTCCTTGACAGGTATACTGAAGTATTTGTTCATATTCATCCCAAATGGAGGTGTGGATATTGTTCCCTGTCATCAACTATATAAAAGAAAACAATTGAGGTTAAATGTATTTTCCTAGTAGCTTAGGGATGCAAATGGGTTGGGTTGAACTAGACTTTGATTTAAATAAGTTATATTTATGCAAAATATTTTGAGTTTGATATGTCTTATTAGCCTAGTGTAGGCTATATTATAAGTTTGACCTAACCTATATTTAAAAATTAACAGGTCCAACTTAGACTTTGTTTTAGTCTATTAAACATTCAATAAAATTAAATATATATATATATATATAATATTTTTATTATTTAAAATAATATAAATAATTATTTTATTTATTATAATTAAAATAATTATAGGATATAGACTGATCTATAGAGTTGTAGGTCAAGCTTTGTAAAAGTAGACCTACAACATGTTTTTCTAAAACTCAAGTCTATTTTTTTTTTTTATAAATTACATGTATCTTTCACGGGAAGCAATTATGTTTGGGGCGGATTCAGGATTAAGGCTTTAAATACAAGTTTATTTTATTTTACTAAATATATTATGTCAAACCCATTTATTTTCCTAGTATCAATCACCACTGAAAATGATTAAGTAGCCATTCCCATTAATTATGTATTGTTAATTGTCCTTCACATTAATTCTTGCAAATTTCAAAAAAAAAACTTTCACTTTCAAACCAATCTCTCGTAGAATTATTTTATACTTTCAGTTCAGAGTAATTGGGATCTTAGTAGATTGGGGATGATGGTGCTTTGATGAGGTTTAGTGAAGAAATTTAGTTAGGGACCAAAATCAATTTCTTAGAAGTTATAGAGTAGAGATGAGAAACATATAATATTGTTTATTATTTCTAATACCAGGTTGAGCCTGATTTACTAATTATATGCAAAATAATAATAATAATAATAATAATAATAATAATAATAATAATAGGGGAGAATTATGTTTACAAATTTTATATTTACAAACTCTTACAAAATATGTTATATACTCCCGAAAGTACATTTTCAGGTGAGTGTACCACTGGGAGTACATAATATATTTTATAAAAGTTTGTAAACAAAATTTTTGTAAATATAACATATCCCATAATATATCCCATAATAATAATAAGAAAACTTATTCTGTTAGCAAACAAACCACATGATAGCTATGTGAAATTAACCAGTCAAAATCATGACAAATGATACTTAAAATCGTGGCTAATTTCGACACGGTTGAGCCCGTGTGTGATTCTGTGTCTTGTTCCCCTAAGCCCCCTCTCCTTTTCAAGAAGGCAAAATGAAAAGTTTTTTTATCTGGGTAACAATCAGAGGAATTATGTTTCAATCTGCTTGACATGGAAGTTTACATTTTTCTCTTTTGAGTTTCTCTCTCTGTGCTTGAATTGAGATTTGAAGTGGAATGGAAATGATGCATATAGTAAAAGATTTGAGCATGAAGAATATAAATTGGGAGTAACTCTGTATTTGAAGTTTTAAAGCAAATTGGGGGAGTTACTGTATTTACTTCTAGCAGACTAAACTAACAACTATGAAATGCTGCTCAACCAAATTTATTAGTCATCAATCAATCGATGTGACTTGAGACCAAATAATGGTAAGTCAATTGGCGCATAAAAACTGAGCAGATAAAAGTAAAAACATGTGTTCAATCCTCCGAGAGCATGTGTTCAATCTTCTGAGAGCATGTGTTCAATCTTCCCTAATATCATCTTTAGAAGGAATTCAAAGTCTTAATCCAGGATTCGCACGGAACAAAATTACCTCTCGTAAAACATAATGTGATTTATCAAAAAGGAAAAAAATCAACGTGACTTGAGTGCGAATAGCCGAATAGTGTAAGTCTGCCGATGGATGCTTGAAGCCCAAGAAATCTGTGGGCTCTTCAAGCAGCTATTTGGTAGTAGACTTTGTTTTAAATAGCTAGGCAAATCAGATAATGATTTGAAGATGACACCTTTAGTAGAAGATTAAAAAAAATAGATAGAAAAATTAGTTGCGTACACAACATAATTTATGTGAAAAATTGCAATCAACATACTGTGCTAGATGACCATATTATACATGGTATTTCCTATTTGCCCAGTAAAGAAAAAAAATTATGTTGAAAACTTAATTAATTTTTTCGGCAATATTTCATCTTACCAAACAACTTTTTTTCAACTTTACCAGTAAATTTACTTTCGTACCATTTCCCCAATAATTGTATTTACTAGGTTAAATTTTTTCTCCTCTACCAAACGCCCCCAAAACACTCCCAAACCAGCTTGTCACTGATCTCCAAAAATTCAAATTTTGTGAGTAGCTAACTTAGCTTGTCTTATATATCCTAGTATATAAGCCAAAAGGCATAAAACATAATTGCTAGCCTTTGTTTAGTAAAAACCATATGCATATAACTCAACCCCCAAGAAATATAAATAAAACAATTTATTATATATCCTCGTCAATAATTAATGCTAAAAGAAAAGTATATGGTTGCTGGACTTTGCACTGCAAAACAAAAGCTACTCAAGCACTCCCTTCCTAAAAAACAAACTTGCTTAACATTATGTATAACCAATAATGATATCAAAACTCTCTTGAGCACTTTCTTGCTTGGGAAAAAGACCCTCAACAGCCATGTGTAGTATTCCCTCGGCAAAACTTTGTAATGGGATATGAAAACATCATAAAGCTGCACAAGCATCACGTTAGTTGAATGGCAGACACACAAGTGACGAGCCGGTACTTGTAATTGTGAACTTACCTATAAAGAGAAATCAGGAAAAGAAAAACAAAGTTAGCACTTGGGAAATCACATGAACCGCAGCAATTAGCCCCTCATTTAAAATAAGAATTTGAGACAAATAAGGCCATCATTTTGGAGTACTAATTGAAGCTCAGAGTTTGTTTTCATTCATGGTAAAACTAGATACATTTTATTATTCTACTGTAATTATCCCAATCTTAGTCAACTTCATAAGGTGAGCACTGAGAACATTACAGGTCAATTTACAACAAAAATATTTGAACAGTAATACCAGTTAGCATTGCTTAAGAGTATTTTTACCATGTCAATACATTAAGGAGGTGTTTTACCATGACAATTATACATCTTACCAATAGTAATACTAATACCACATACACATGAAATCATCTGAAGAACAAGTATTCATTCCCTCCCACCCCTTACCCCGCTTTCCCTTTTCAATTTATTTGGGGACGAAACAGGGCATTGCAATCCAAACAAGACAGGTTAAACTGTAATGGGCATTGCATATGCCTAAAACACATTTCAAAACAAAACAAAACATTTTGAAATAATTTGATATAAGTTGAAATGCTTCAAGACACTGAAAATGACTCTTAGCTTAGACTTTGGTACCTTCTACAATTAAAATATATCTAATATTTATATACTTTTATAAGTATTTTAAAAAAATTATTCAATAAACCCCACCATACTGGCATTGTATACTGTTTTTTTTCCTAATATTCTTCCTGCCATATCCCTGCATTGTATTGTCTTGGGTATGACACACCATCACCATCCTTTCTAGGTGATATCTGTTTCTGCAATATGATAGCACATAATCTAAGCACCTTTGGATTAGAGCTTTTCAACCTCCCAGTATTTCTTCCTCTATCTAGGCAGAAGAAATGGCTCTTACCTGATAAACTTGATCTACTTTCAAGTTTAACGGAATGCTACCTCTAATAAGGCATATAAGCAGCAACAAATGTTACCAATTTTTATAAATTTCTAAGCAAAATTTTAAAATATAAAAACTTACATAAGAGGAATGGAAGAAGGACCAGATACAGCAGCAGCTCTCTGTGCCCGATGTGTTTCACACTTATAAAGCCCTTTCATTTCTTTTTTAACACGACGTGCCTCACGCCGTTCCTCCTTCACCGCAGTCTATAAAACAGCAGAAGCATTGATGTCAGTGTTAGCAGATGTATAAAAGCTAAACAAAAACATGGGTATTATTCTTAGGGAAACAACAGCTGGTAACTTCTCATAAAGAAGTAGATTATGACTACATGCATAAATGAAGTATCATAGACCCCAGAAGTGGTATAGGCAGAGCAGGTAATATAGATACCTTCCTTTCTTTCTTCTCCTCCTTTGACTCTAGGCCATGTTGTTTTCTCTTATACTGTTCACTTTTTGCAGTGCTCGGGCCTTCAACCTTTTCAAAAGCAGGTTTTCTGCCACTAGGCAAGAAGTCTATCGGGAGTTTCTCTTTTCCTCTAAGGGATATTATTTGACTAGAGGAACTCAAGGCTGCTGACACAGCTTCAGCCAATTTCTTTTTCCTAGTTACTTCAGGTGCTTCAATCTTTCCAGGGTGGTTATCTAAATTTGTGTACGTTGAAACAATAGTCTCACAATCCCAAACTTCTGATTCATCGCTACTTTCCTGAACAAGTACAACATCCTTGTCTTTATCTTCAACTTCATACACCTCAGCATATTCCTTGCAACGACTAATCACATCAGCAGCAGAGTCATCTGCAGGAGCCTTGTAATTGCTCTGATCAGTTTCTTGGTCATCCATGTCATGGTTGTTAAGAAAGGGTTTGAGCTTCTCAGCAAGGGATTCATCTTCTCCAGCTTGATAATTTTCATAACAATCACCATCATCATCATCATTGTTAACATTAGTTCCAAATTCTTGGCGTAAAAGCTATAACAGAAAATATACTGAGAATTAGAATCTTAAAAAAGTGCAGAGGTAGTCCATAGAGATTACTATGTACTTGCAATGAAAATAAAGGATGGAATTTGGCAAAGACATCCTCGGATAACAGAAACAAAGAGATTCAACATGCTTTATTAAATAATATAATTCGTAAGGAGAAAGCATCAGAGAACCAGAAAATAGAATGTGAATAAAATAGATTATGAATAGCTGAACTCACTAAATCAAATTCCTCATCCAACAGACGAAGAGCTCCTGACTTCTCAACAGAACAGCCCTCTCCTGTTACACCATTTGCCCCATCAAAATATACACAATCATCTGTAACTCTGGAATGTGCAGAAACTTGCATTACTAGAGCATTGTTTTTGTTTCTCTTTATCAAAGATTCCTCAGCGAAGTCCGTAACACTGCATATATGTGCATTCTCTTCTTCACCAGCTTCTTCTTCATGGAGGTTAGCCTGGACAACAAAGTCTTCCTCCAAATCTTCAAGGTCGGAGCCAAACCGCGACAAATCACTATCATCAAGCAACGCAGCTACATCAGGATCAACTGCTTTCTGAACCCTTACGCTGGCAGTCTTAGATGCAACATTGTAGATAGAGTTTTCTACAGGCTCTTCATCAGCCTCCGAAATTCGCAATCTTGAAGCATCGTATGCCTAAACTCACCAGCAGTAAATGCAATTAATCAACTACTACTTCAACACACGACCAAGTTTTTATTTTTAATTTATTTTTTTTAAATGGAATCAAAATATTCCTTTCATGATCAATCCGGACCAAGAAGAAATTAATATAGAACTCACAGTAACTCACATCAACAACATTGGCCTCACAATTCAGACACCAAAACAGTTTCCAACCCACCTGACCTCAAGGTAACAAAAAACACTAAGGGCATGTTTGGATGAATGATTTGGAGGGTTTGGATAATTTTTTCATTAGCAAATAGAGAAAATATATATAATTTTTTTTATAAAAAAAGAAACAACAAGAGATGATTGGAAAAAAGGTCACATCTTATTCCTTAAGAATATTTTACTTAAAATGAAATAAATAAAATCCCTTCCTTCCATTCCCTTCCCTTCCCTTCCTCCACCCAAACATACCCTAAACAGATATAGTGGTGGTAAAAAAAAAAACATGCAAGCTCATTAAAAATTAAAAGAAGAAGAAGAAGAACCTTAACATCATGAGGAACGTGCTGAGCCTTGAACTTGGGATTGTGATAGAAAGCAGAACCACTACCAGCATTCTTAATTTCCCTCAAATGACTCAAGTAGTTATACCCATCATCAGGAAACCCTAGTTCCAGAATCTCCCTCCTAACCTCCTCCGACAACTGACCACCGCCGCCACCACCACCCCCCCTGCTAACCCGGTCATCGTCATCGCCATCGTCGTCGAAGTCATCAGGGGCATCTTCAAAGATCGAATTGGGATCGCCGTCGCCGGAGGGGACTTCGTCGGCGACGGAGAAAGGGTTGTTGTCAACGCGGACAAAGACGCGGTCGGAGTCGGAGAATAATGGGTCGGAGGAATCACGAGCGATTAATTGGAAAGTTGCGGACTTTTTCTTGTCGATGAACTTCTTCTTCGTCTTCCCCATTATCGCTTATGGCTATGCCTTTGATCCTTCTAAGGATATTTTTCGTGGCTGCTGGGAAAGTAAAAGGGAGCGCCTTATAATTATGGATATATAAAACCCTAGTGTTATTATGGCATAAGAATTTTAATTTAAATTATGTGTCAGATAAACACAACGGTTATTTATGTTATTTTTTAGAGTTCATTTAATCTTATGTTACATGAGAGATCTTCTCTCATGTTGTAAAGATACATATGGTGGGGTCCGTTATTTAAAGAAAAAGAAAAAAAATGAGTGTCATAGTTTTCGACGAGTGTGTAAGAGATAAAACTACTATTATGTTGCGTAAAAGTAGTTTTTCCCTATTTTTTATTCCATTTTACATTAATTTGATATACGAAATAAAACAATAGAATGACATGAAAATATATTTTATTTTTTATTGCTACTAAGAATTTTATTTCATTTTAACTCATTTTAATTCCATGAGATTATTATGGTATAACGTGACATAAGATTTGAGATTTTTTATTCTTAAGGGATTATTTTAGCATTAATATCCAGTATCCACCATCTAGATTAAGGAATAGGTTTTTTTTTTTTTTTTTAACTTTTGCTTACTATTCTCCGGTATCATTAGATTAGAATCTAAAAAGAAGAGAGAAAGATAAATGTTAATTAAGATTCCAATATAACGATATTAAAAAATGATAGACAAAGAATAAAAAAAAAAAAAAAAGTAAAATAACATATCACATGTATTAACGGTGAAACATTCTATTGGTTATTAAGTAGATAATCGAGGAGTACTCAAAATTTGGCGTTTCCTCTCTTACAAAATTAATTTTTTTTCTTTCCTTCATTCATGTTATTTTTCTTCTTTTTATTTTTATCCTTCTATTCAAGCCTAAAGAGGTTAAAAAGGAGCAACATAAACATTGGTGTGCAAGGCATAGAGCAAAAAGGAGAAATCCAATCATATAATAATAATTCAGTTAGTCTCAGAGAATTAAGTAGATAAAAGTAGGGGTGTCAAAACGGGTTGACACGACATGAATACATCAACACTAACACGAGACATGAATTTTTATTCGTGTCAAAATCTTCAACACTGACACGACGCAAATTTTTTGCGGGTTGACACGACATGACACGAATAACACGCAAAATAGGGGTCAAAACGGTAATTGACAAAAAAATTTAAAAAAAATGGATCGAAATTAAAAAAATTAAAAAATAATAATAAAAAATTAAAAATAAAATAATTTTAAAAAAATACGGGTCGACACGAACACGAATACATCAACACGAACACGATACGAATTTTTTACGTGTCATTTTTCCCAATACGAACACGACACGAATTTTTTTGCGGGTCGACCCGCGTGTCAAAACCTATATTGACACTCCTAGGTAAAAGTAAGAATATGTATTTGATCTTTTCTAAATATCATTTTAAAGTCATAATTTTAAAAACCGTTATGAATGGAATTAGTCACTTGAAAAAGAGAAGAGACACTGGATTGTATATACAGCCACAACATAATGTTGGGAAAACTCGGTTCCCTCATATCGGCTCAGGGGCCTTTGTGCGGAAGTCAATCAACAAAATCCTGATCTCGGATCTCGGCAATACCTCGGCCTGAACTTCACCAGGTCAGGCAGCGCAGCGGAACAATCAAAAACGAAAAACAGGAGAGAGAGAGAGAGAGAGAGAGAGAGAGAGAGAAGAAGAAGAAGAAGAAGAACACAACCAGATTTAACGTGGGAAAACCTTCTCCAATGAAGAAGTAAAAACCCACGGGACCTAGTCCAGATCAGAAATCCACTATGAAAATAATGGTTACAAATAATCAAATACACCAATGTGGTGGTTAACTCAACCTCTCCAACAATGGTGATAATCAAACTACCCTAGAGATGTTTCACTCAAACTCTCTCTAGAGATCTTTCAAATGCAAAGCATAAAGCCTTGCTCAAACAATCAAATAATTCTCTCAAATTTGTTCTCTCAAATCTGACCTCTCAAATCTAACCTAGCCTCCACCCACAACAATTAGTATATATAGAGGAGATGGAAATTAGGGTTAGGGTTTTTAGGAAACCCCTCAAATGGGCTTGGGCTTAGCATTGAAGGAGGAAGCCCAACAAATCTCCCCCTCCGACTTCAATGCATCGGCCTCAGCATCAATCCGGCTCCTTCACAGCAGTCTTCAATTTTTCTTGCTGGAACCGGCTTCGTCATCATGTCGGACCAATTTTGGTCAGTGTGCATCTTGACGAGTTCGAGCTCACCACCTTCCACCACATCCCGGATCCAGTGATACCTCACATCAATATGCTTAGTGCGGGAGTGATAGGTTGAATTCTTCGTAAGATGGATTGCGCTTTGATTGTCACAACTCAGCTCGTACTTGTCTTGATCATGGCCGAGTTCCATGAGGAACTTCTTCATCCACAGCATCTCTTTGCTTGCCTCAGTAGCGGCAATGTACTCAGCCTCAGTTGTAGATAGTGCAACACATTTCTGAAGTCTTGATTGCCAAGAGACAGCTCCTCCGGCAAATCTCATCAAATATCCTGTAGTCGACTTCCTCGAATCAACGTCTCCCCCTAAATCAGAATCCGAGTAGCCTTGCAACTCGGCTTTTCCTTCTCCAAATCGGAGACATAAGTCGGTCGTACCTCGAAGGTACTTGAAGATCCACTTCACTGCTTCCCAGTGCTCTTTGCCGGGGTTTGACAAATACCGGCTTACCATTCCAACAGCATACGCCAAGTCGGGTCTAGTGCAAACCATTGCATACATCAAGCTTCCGACGGCGGATTGATAAGGGACCTTCATCATTTCATCTTTGTCTTCATCAGATCTCGGACATTGCTTTATGTGTCCGGCTAGGGGGGTGCTCACTGTTTTGGCTTTGTCCATGCTGAATCTCTTCAATATCTTCTCAATGTACTTCTCTTGACTTAGCCACAGTAGCTTCTTCTGTCTATCTCGGATGATCTTGATTCCGAGAATCTGCTTTGCAGGGCCGAGGTCCTTCATTGCGAAGGACGAGCTCAACGCCTTTTTCAGGGCGACTATCCTCGATTTGTCTTTCCCTACAATAAGCATGTCGTCAACATATAACAACAAAATCAAAAAATCTCCTGCCTCATACCTCTTCACAAATACGCAGTGGTCGGCTTCAGTCTTCTCAAACTTATGATCAGTCATGAATGATTCAAACTTCTTGTACCACTGCCGAGGTGCTTGCTTCAAGCCATAGAGGCTCTTCTTCAACCGACATACCAAGTCTTCTTGGTCTGGAGCTTGGAATCCTTCTGGTTGCTCCATATATATTTCTTCTTCTAAGTCACCGTGAAGAAATGCCGTCTTCACGTCCATTTGTTCTACCTCGAGGTCCATTGAAGCTGCCATGGCTAACACGGTTCGGACCGAGGTCATTTTCACCACAGGAGAAAAAATCTCCTCAAAATCAACTCCTTTCTTCTGATTGCAGCCTTTCACTACAATCCGGGCTTTGTATCTCGGCTTTTGCCCGTTCTCTTCATTCTTAATCTTGTAAACCCATTTATTTTTCAAAACTCTTCTTCCTTTTGGCAACTCGGTCAGCTCATAAGTCTGATTCTCGTGCTAAGACTTCATCTCGTCCTGCATTGCCTTTTTCCATTCTTCTTTCTCTGAGCTCGTTACAGCCTCATCATAACTCTGAGGCTCACCGTCTTCAGCAACAACGGTGTATTCATCGGATGGGTATCTTGTAGAGGGTCTTCTTTCTCGAGTTGGATATCTCGGCTGTTCTTCAGCTTGAGAACCCGGTTCATCAATTTCATCCTGGATCTCATCTTCAACTCGGACCTCAGTGTCTTGGTCATCTTCAGCTTGTTGCTGATCATCAATTTCTTCGTTTTCTTGATTTTCTCCCCCTGCTTCAGCTCGGACATGAGGGATGGGTTCTTCACGTCTGACAGTAACCCGGACTTTGGGCTTCGAGATATCATGAATGTTCTCATGCTCATGAAAGATCACATCTCGGCTTCTCACGATCTTCTTATTGATTGGATCCCAAAGTCGGAACCCGAACTCACATCTCGGCGAACCAAGATAAATGCATTCTTTGGTCTTTGCATCAAGTTTTGCCCTTTCATCTTTAGGGATATGCACGAAAGCTCGGCATCCAAACACTTTCAATTGATTATAGGCCGCTTTCCGACCTGTCCAGACTTTTTCTGGAATTTCTCCTTCAAGTGGCCGTGATGGTGAGAGGTTGATTAAATCAACAGCTGTTTTGACGGCTTCTCCCCAGAATGATTTCGGAAATCCGGCATTGGATAACATGCTTCAGACCTTTTCTTCAATAGTTCTGTTCATCCGCTTAGCCAGTCCATTCAGCTGAGGTATCTTGGGGGGCGTCTTCTCTAGTCGAATCCCGGCCGCTCTGCAGTATGCATCAAATGGGCCGCAATACTCACCACCATTATCAGATCGGACCACCTTCAATTTCTTGCCAGTCTCCCTTTCAACCATCGCATGAAATTCTTTAAATGATTGGAGTACCTGGTCTTTAGTTTTCAACAAATATACCCACACTTTGCGGGAATGGTCATCTATAAATGAAACAAAGTACTGAGCTCCTACAAGGGATCTTTCCGACATGGAGCAGACATCAGTATGGACGAGGTCAAGAATATACCTGCGTCGTCTAGGTTGATCCGGTCTCACAAAAGAAACCCGGTGCGGCTTTCCAGCTAGGCAGTGCGTGCAACTCTCCAACGCTTGGCCTTTCAACCCGATCAGTAATCATTTCTTGTTCAGGATCTGTAGCCCTTTCTCGCTCATGTGGCCGAGGCGCTTGTGCCATAGCTCCAAGCTAGGTTCATCTCGAACAGAATTGGCTTCTCCGCCATTGATCTTTCCTTGCATCACGTACAAGGAGCCTTCCTTCTTACCTCGGGCCACGACCAAGTTTCCCTTGGCCAGCTTCCATCTCACACTACCGAAGTAGTTCACTAACCCGGCATCATCAAGTTTGCCTACCGAGATTAGGTTCAAATGCA